AACCATGTGCCCTCCGCTGTCTCATACTTTTTCACTGGTGTCTGTTTGCGATGATTAAGGATTCCATATCTGAACGATTTTGCTATTTTCGATGCAAAATGTGCCGTTAACGCCGAGGGAAAACTATGAAACAAAATCATGTCCCCAGTTCCCGCTCGGTGGAGAAAATAGGCTCAGCAGAACCTAGAAGTAAATAAATGAATCATTTGCACAAGTTTATGTATCTTTTCCCTTGCAATAACCCTTATGGGACCTGAAAGAAAGGATCATTTTGTTAGATAAGAGACGATTCTCATAAGCAAAGGATTTTCGTTGTTATTTTTCCAGGCCATAAGGGCCAGAATAGCTTAGGCGCCGGAATCTGCCAGAGGGTCGGATCACACACGTTGCTGACGACTGACGCCCCTTTGAACCCTCAGCATAGAGCCTGAAATTACCCTCGAGCTCCACGTTGGCTTATTCCATAGTCACGTGTTCGAGCCAAAGGAAATGTCAGCTCTATGTATTAGGGGTATACAGTTGGTAATGGTATGCAGCATCCCCGAGCTTAGCCGGTCTGGCTATGCCAGCTGAAAACCAACAGAAGCTTAGCCATGGCTTCAAATTTTACCTCTAATAAACTTTTAAGATCGTAAGTAATGTTTATGGTTATATATGGAAACTCATGAATAGGAATAAGATTAGTAAGTTGCATTCTTGAAACATACACACACGAAACCATACGGACACACACACACACACACACACACACACACACACACACACACACACACACACACACACACACACACACACACACACACACACACACACACACACACTCACACACACACACACACACACACACGTATATATATATATATATATATATATATATATATATACACACACACACACACACACACACACACTCATTCACACTTACTAATATACACACGTTCACTCAGTGAGAGAGAGAGAGAGAGAGAGAGAGAGAGAGAGAGAGAGAGAGAGAGAGAGAGAGAGAGAGAGAGAGAGAGAGAACCTTTACTCCTGATTGTCTTTCACACAAGCTCAGACATTTACTAATTACGGCCTCCCACACGCGGGCCTCATAGGTCTTTGTGGGAGTTTATGGAGCTCGTCTCAGCTAGGATGGAAGGGACCACAAAGCGCCCGTGTATGCCCTCCTGATTGGCAGAGTCTCCCCTCCGTGCCACGGCCAGAGCAGGGGACGGATCCCTTTTTCTTTAACCCTACCGAAGTATGGCTCGTGTCCGAGTTCTGGCCCCCCCTTCCCCCCTCTCTCTCTCTCCCTCCTCCGCTCCCACTCACCATGCCCGGGTGCCCCTCTACTTCTCCCGATAAGCCTGGGGGTACCCTGCCCTCCGTCAGCTGGTCACAGGGACTCCTCTCGCGCATGGTTATGTTTCCATGACAACGGCGTTAATATGAAAGGCGATCGGGGAAGTGCGAGCGTTTGAAATCTGCCTCGAACCTTTGCCGTCACAGGCGGGAGGAAGACGAGTCGGTCCTCGCGAAATTTTTCAGTACATGGAGGAGGCAAATTCGAAGATCCAAGGCGGCGCATGTGCGATTAAGTTGCCTCCGACGTGCGTCGAAAGGTGCCTCTAAGTGCCGTCTGGTCTGCAACGCTCCCGGAGAGCAAGTCACTGAAAACGTGCCCAAGCTTGCTGGTACCGGATACAAGGTTGCGGCGGCCTTCCTGTTGATTAGCAAATGTTCGTTCCCCGCATCCCTGCAGACATGTGTTCTTTTCATGGCGGCCTTTCCTTGGCGCAAACACATATTTTACGCGAATGACAGGGAGCAGTCGTGTTGCAACTACCTGGTAACGATGGGGATATTCGTTCACTTCCGCGGCGGTCAAGAAAATGTATTTGTTATTTACCTGGCGAACATGCGGGGACGTTGTTTTACCTGGGAGGTGGACGGGATGATCCCCTCTCTACCTGGCGGGCAGAAAGGGATACTCGGTTACTCACCGGAATACCAACGTCAATAGAGAGAAGTGCCTCGCGAAAAAGGGAGGATTTGCATTGGCGATTTTAAACTGGAATATAGGAAGATTAACGTAGATCCGTCGTTGAAATGCGTGCGTACTTGTAAAACGTGTTCGGTTATTACCACGCCGTTCTTTTCAAGACCCGTTTGCACAGACAGACGCAAACCGGTCACATTTCCTCGGGAACCATTACTTTAAAGAAAAGGCACATTGGCCGCTTGCGAGGGACGCGAATTGATTACGAAAACTTGAAACAGGCACGCGGAAACAATAAAGCGGTACGTGAAAGGCTTCGAGTCTAGTTTTGTCCCTGGTTTGTGGGTGCGCCTCGTGGGAGACCCCCTCCTCCCCCCCTCCCGGCCGCCAGCCTCTCCGCCGCCGCTGGAAGCCCGTCCGACTGGCTTTTGTTTGATTCAAGCTGTCGAGCCCGGATAGAACGCGACAAGTTTTTGTTTTGTTTTCCGTGCGTTGGCGAGGCCCGTGCACGCGGCGGCCCCGGAGTGCGAGTTGCTGCGGCTGCTTTCCGGTTGCAGGGGATGCAGGGCAGATGGTGCAGGCACTGTGCACGCGGCGGGAAGGGAACGCCGGTGTTAATTTTCGGTCTCGCCTCGACGAGTGCAATTTCCTTCCCCGATACGGGCTTCTACCCTCATGCTAATGATTTATTCCACAATATCCGCTGAATCTTATTCGCACGGCGCGTTCCGCACAGCCACAGCATCCACAAGAGTCGGCTGCGGGCGTGCAGCAGTTGCTGCTTCGCCACATTGGCATGTTGCAAAGCGGAGAATGGCAGGGCATTGGCCGGGCTTCCCGCGTGGCCAGGCGGTGAGGTGCGG